GACGATGGGAGACTGTCCCATTGGCCAGATTGACTTCGTGATGGGAGGCTGCTGCATTTCAGGACTGAGAACATAAGAAGCCTGGTGGTGCAGAGGGGATGCTGCTGACATAGCCTTGGTTACCGTGCAGGCCGAGTCATGGGCCCCAAAGATGTCCACATCCCAGTTCCCAGGGCCTGTGAATGGTACCTTCTATGGAAAAAAGGGGGAACTTCATCAGATGTGATGAAGTTAAGGATCTTGGGGTGGAGGGATTATTCCGAGAGTCCAGGTCATCACGAGGGCTGAGCCGGCATCTCCTGGCTGGCTCCCGACTCTGCACACTGCTGCCTCTAATGGTGCTGCAGGCTGTCCCGTAGTGTGACCAGGACGCCTGGCCCCGCTGGGGTGGCTGCAGAGTGTCTTCTCTGTCCTTGTAGCCCTCTTCCCAAGCTTCCTTTGCCAGAGCAGTTGGGTGCCATAAAGCAACCATAACAAATATGAGACCCCAGAGAGAAGTCGCAATACATCACTCAGAGGCGTGCTGCCCAGCTGGCTGGCTCCTTTAACTCGCACAGGTCTGTGGGGAGAGGCTTCGTGCCCTGACACCCATGTCAGAGAGTCGGATTCCTACCAGCTCTCACCTGCACTGTGTGCCTCTTCCCTCACGTCTCCCTCACCGCTGCCTCCTGCCATCGCAAAGTATTCGTAGCCAGAGGAGACGGCAACTAAACATTCTATATACGCCAGCTTTCCTGTCCCTCACCTTTCCTTTCTTTTTTTAAATCCTCACCCGAGGACATTTTTTCCCATTGATTTCTAGAGAGTGGAAGGGAAGGAGGAAGGAGAAGAGAGAGAAACATCAGCTGGAGAGAGACACGTCGATTGGTTGCCTCCCCGGCTGGGCCCAGGGAATTGAGCCTGCAACCCAGGTATGTGCCCTGGACTGGGAATCGAACCCATGACCCTTCCGTCTGCAGGCAGATGCTCTCACCACTGAGCAACACAGGCCAGGGCTCCCCTCACAGTTCTTTTTAGTTATGTAGACCTGCACTTGAGCTGGAGCGCCTGCTCTGCCTTATCTCCTATTTGCCTTGGGATCCGGGCAGACGCTGTGATGAGCGCCCCGGTGGGAGACACGCCCAGCTCTTTCAAGGTAACCTTGCCTGCCTCCCACTATTCCACAGGAAGCAGTATTCCAAACACTCCAAATGTTCACAGAAATAGTGTGTGAAGGAGGCAGGCCCTGAGCTGGGGCTGAACAGGAGTGTGTGGAAGGAGAGAAGGAATGGCGGGGTCGTAGAGGCTGCTGAGTCCACAGGAGGGCGGGCAGCTGAGATTTAGGTTGGTCCCCATCCCTCTCTGATCCTTTGGGTGGACTTTAAAAAGTTGTGCACCAGAGCATCAGTGTCCCAAGGCTGCAGGGCAGGCAGTAAGGCAGCTCTGGGGCACCTCAGGACACTGTGGCCGTGGGCTGTCTTTTCCCTTCTGAGAAGTGCCCTTGGTGTTCGCTGTGTCCTATCTGCTGCGTTAGTGCAGATCCTCCACTTACGCCCCGCAGCCAGCCCAGAGGTCAGAAGCCGCAGCTTCCCAGTCAGTCTCCCAATCAGTCGAGAGCGTCTGCGCCCTCACAGGCGGCCACGATGTCCGATGCCCCGCATCCCAACACCCACCACAATCAGGGCCTGCCCCGGAGCCTGCTTTCCTTCGAGAGCTATTTATAACCAAATCAGGGCGGGAATCATTAGGTAAAGAGGGCCCCCCTTCCTCCCCCGGGTTGTCAATCTCTCCCCCTCCCGTGAGGCTCTGGCTGCAGTAATCAGACTTAATGAATGGACTCGTGCATTGGCAAGTGCTGAAGGCAAAGGAGTCTGTGACTCATCATCCCCTGCCCACGCACAGAGCCTGCCTTGGACTCGGCCAGCTTCAGTTTTGTTATCTGAACACAGGGTGGGTCGCATCCTCTCTGGTTCGCTCAGGACTCCCTCCTGGTTCCAGAGGGCTCTGGAAGGGTTGTCAATCAGTGCCCTGGGCCCCGCCTACCACTTCTGGGTGGAGCATATGAGCAGCTGGGCCTCTTTGCGACTTCTCTGTGAAGTTGATGCCTGCACTTTGCAGGTGGTGGGCTGTCTGCAGGGCCGGCCACAGTCACCCCAAGCTGGCCACGTGACTTTAGATGCGTCCCAGCAGGAGGTGAAATCTATTTCCCTTCCCCCTGAATCTGGGCTGGTCCTAGACTTGCTTTGATCAGGGGAGGGGTGCTGTGTGAGTTCCCATCTTCAGCCTCTAGTGACTTTGCAGGTTCTGTTCTCACCCTCTTAGAACGCCGCTGCTCTGTGATGGCCAGGGGCCCTCCCTGACACTGAAACCCTTCATGCAGAGTCCACGCAGAGCGGCCCACCGGCCCAGCTGTTCTAGCCATCCCAGTCGAGGCCCCTGACCTGTGAATGGGGCCACCTGAGGCCACCCGGCCTCCAGCTGATACCACCTGACCACAAGTGCCAGGGGGGATCCAGAAGACACTGCGTGCACCCAGAGAACTGTCCAGTTTGCTCACCCACAGAACCGTGGGCAGGAAAATGCCGCCCCTTTTAAAAAAAATATTTTTATTGATTTCAGAGAGGAAAGGAAAGGGAAAGAGAGAGAGAAACGTCAATGATGAGAGAGAATCATTGATCAGCTGCTTCTTCACACCCCACACTGGGAGTCGAGCCTACAATCCAGGCATGTGCCCTGACCAGTCATCGAACTCTGACCTCCTGGTTCATAAGTCGATGCTCAACCACCGAGTCACGCTGGCCGGGCTAAAGCAACAGTTTCTTCTTTCTTGTGGACTCACCCACACAGCTGCATCCAGGTGGAGGCCCCCTGGGGTGGGCTCGGCCTCTCTGTGGGGTCTTTCATTCCCAAGGAGGCTGGCCTGGGCTTCCGCACACGATGCCGTCAGCGTCTAAGAAAGAAAGCCCTAGAGCACAAGCCCCCATCAACTCCCGCTTGTGTCACATTTTCCGACGTCTCAGTGGCCAAAGCACGTTGCATGGGTTCCATGCGATGGAGGCTGACACCAAGGCTGTGACGCTTAGGTCCACCACAGGGCGGCGGGTGGCGGGCTGTCATGTGGAAGGGATCCATGTCCGGTGGGGTTCACGGGTGGAGATGCACATCAGAGTGGTTGTTCTGGAGACAGGGGGGTGGGCCAAATGTCTGAGGTCCTGCAGAGCAGTGATGGGAACAGTAAACGTGGCTGGACTTAGCGGGGGGAGCACAGGGTCTGGATCAAATGAAAGGAATCCAGTAATGGTTACTTCACGGGTCTTCTCTAGCCTCATAGGCCACACCGTGGAGGTATTTTGCAAACTTGAAAAGAAGGGAAGTTAGTGTTGTCAGGCAGAAAACCCAGGTCAGCACCCCAGACAGCTCCGAGGCACCGCAGCTGCACCCAGACGATCCCGAACAAGAGTCCCTGCCGCTTCGCTGGACGCACCGGGCCCCAGGGAAGCAGCTTGCCCGGTGTCTAGAACACTGGATCGGCTTGATACATCCTCATTTGTGGGCCCCCTCCTGTGAGGACTGTATGAATCGAGTTCAGGTTTGGTCATGAGTATGAGAAACCCCAAGTAAGAGAGGCTTTGACTCTCATAAGCAAAGGCCGTTGCTAGGCAGGTTGGGGCGGTCATGGCCTCTCTGCTCCAGGAAGACCAGACCCTGGATCCTCACTGCTGGCTGCCCCGCACCCTTAGGGGGCACCCTTCAACTTCCTGGTCTAAGGTGGGTGGCCAGTGTGCCTGTCACTGCATCCACATTTTTTCATCGGCCCCTCCCTCCAATAAAGGCAATTTTTCCGGTGCCTAGTATGTACCAGAAAGAGGCTAAAGCCCGGCCGGCGTGACTCAGTGGTTGAATGTTGACCTATGAACCAGGAGGTCATGGTTTGATTCCCTGTCAAGGGCACATGCCCGGGTTGTGGACTCGATCCCCAGTGTGGGGCGTGCAGGAGGCAGCGATCCATGATTCTCTCTCATGTTTGATGTTTCTATCTCTCTCCCTCTTCCTTCCTCTCTGAAATCAATACAAGTATTTTTTTTAAAAAGAAAGAGGCTAAAAGGTCTTACATGTGTGGCATCAAAAAGTCAGCATTCGCCTTAGCTGGTTACGCTCACTGGATAGAGTGTTGACCTGCAGGCTGAAGGGTCCTGGGTTCGATTCCAGTCAAGGGCACAGGACCGGGTTGCGGGCTTGATCCCCAGTAGGGGGCATGCAGGAGGCAGCCGATCCATGATTCTCTCTCATTATTGATGTTTCTCCCTCTCCCTTCCTCTCTCTAAAGTCAGTAAAAATATGTTTTGTTTTGTTTTTTTAGTCAGCATTCTTGGGATTCCAAGGAAAAGAGGAAGAGAGAAGCTCTTCGGGACGTCGTGTGGAGAAGCAGCCAAGATGAGCCGTGGCTAGTCTGGGCTGGGCAGTGTTTGAGTCAGACGCAGGCTGCCTGGTTTTATTGTGCTTCGGAAAGATTGTGGGTTTTGTTTGTTTGTTTGTTTGTTTTGTTTTTGCGAACAAAAGGTTTGCAGCAACCTCCCATCAGCAAGTCTATCGGCACCATTTCTCCTGGTGGAGATGCCGTGAAGAACATTGAAATGACAGCTAAAGATTTATAACATTTAACAAGCTTTGTTGATAAAACAGTGGCAGGGTTGCGGGGGGACTGACTCCCATTTTGAAAGAAGTTCTACTGTGGATAAAACGCTGCCACACAGCATCGCACGCTTCAGAGAAATCGTGCGTGAAAGGAAGAGTCCATCGGTGTGGCAAGCTTCATTGCTGTCGTAAGAAATTGCCTCCCCAGCCTTCAGCCACCACCACCCCATCAATCACAGCCCTCAACCCTGAGGCAAGACCCCCCACCAGCAAAAAGACTGACTGGCATCTGTAATAACCACGCCCCCCCCCCACCACCACCAACAACAACAACCAAAAGACTGCGACTTGCTGAAGGACTCAGAAGACGGTTAGCGTTTTTTTTTCCCCAATAAATAACTTTTAATTAAAGTATGTACATACTTCAGACATAATGCAATTGCACACAACAGAGTGTAAAAACAACGTTTAGATGCACCAGGAAACCACATATTTGTGTGACTCATTCATTGTGAGACTTGCTTTCCTGTGGTGGCCTGGAACCGAGCCTGCAGACTCTCTGGGGTGCGCCTGTGTGTATACTTCTGTGCCTCTGGGGAGCCCTGACTGACACGCTGTCTTTCAACGAAATCTCTTCCGGGATCGGCAACCACGAAGCACCCTTGGGGCAGACAGCACCAGGCAATCACCGCGTCCTTCCCTCCACGCCTGTGTGCAGCCTCAGAATCATCCTTAACCTTGTTTGACGGCTCCGACAGAAAAGCGTTCGATTTGCAGGGCCTGCCCCACCTCCTGAAACGCTACTTCTTGCGTCGGCCTCTCTGGGACTCCCACATCTGGGTCCTCTCTCTGTTCTCTGCGACATGTCTGGTGCTCGGAGGTGACGGTGCTTCAGGGCTGGAGGCCTTGAGCCCCATGGGACAGAGCCAGGAAAGGCAGAGCAGAGGGAGGGGTTGGCACCAGGCTCCCCTGAGCCGGAGATCCACAGGACAGAGCCAGAGATGGGAGCCAGGCATTTGCCAGGCGGTCTGAAGAGTCCTTCACCCGAGTTCTGGACATCTGCACCCAGGACCCAAGCCCAGGTGCACTGGGGACTCAGGATCCCACTGGGGGCAGCTCACAGCTACGGCAGGTAGAGCAGGGACTGCGTTCCTTCCAGAAACCATTGGGGGGCTCCCTCCCCGATTTCACCTCGGAACCATGGGCTCAGACATGAAGAAGGCAGGCGTGGACCCGTCTAGGAGAATGTTGGGTCTGCTAACACACAGGGTGGTTGTTTCCAGCTTCCAGAAGAGTTTGGGGGACTCAGCCATGCATGACACCCAAATGGTTGCAGTATTAAGTGAGCAAAGTCTCATTTTTAAATACTTACTAATGTTCAATGTGTAGGGGGATCTTTGGTTTTCTGAAATGGTGAGACCACCCGTGATGACCTGGGTGGGGACCGTCCGGCCCGGAGGCTGTTAAAACCCTAGGAACCATGTGGTCTGGCCCTGCCAAGGCATTAGGGTGAGTTAATGAAAGGTTCGGACAAATAGAACAGGCTGATTTTTGAGTGGATGATTCTATATGGCCTGAGGATGATGTCACAAATATTCAATGGCTCTTGGCAGAAAAATATGTCCCCCCGCCCCCGTGGTTTAGATAATCCCACTTTTGATGTAATTGTCCAGCGTGGAGGAGGCCTCTGGTTTCGGCCTGTTCGTGGCCTTGTCGTCAGTGACGGCTGAGTCTGTCTTCTCCGCTGGTGGGTAGGCCTTGTTCCTTTTGGCAAATGCCTGGCTGATTTCGGCGTGGGTTCGGTTTTTGGTCTCAGGGAGGACGAAATATAAGTAGAGAGCACCCGCGGAGCAGATGGCGGCGAAGACCAGGAAGCAGTAGGTGCCCAGGCTTTTCTGTGGAAAGGCGGAGACAAAAGCGTCAACCAGACAAGCACCCCACTGGCCACGAAGCCACTCTGAGCAGAATGTTCTTTGTTAAAAAATATATCTATTTCAGAGAGGAAGGGAGCGAGAGACAGAAACATCAATGACAGAGAATCATTGATCGGTTGCCTCCTGCATGCCCCACACTGGGGATCAAGCCGGCAACCCGGGCATGTGCCCTTGACCAGAGTCGAACCCTGGACCGTTCAGTCCGCAGGCTGATGCTTTATTCACTGAGCCAAACCAGCGAGGGCTGGACTGTTCTTGATGGTCCCTATTCATCCGCCAACATTCCCAGGTGCAGCTTCGCATGCAGATGTGCCTTATAATGGTGCACAGGAGACGTCTCCCGTGAGGCATAAATCAATCAGCTTCAAACCCCAGGAAAGATGAGGAAGTGGCAGTCTTTATTTATTACTTTTTTTTTTTTTTTTAAAGAAAAGTGGGCATATAGCCCGACCGGTGTGGCTCAGTGGTTGAGTGTTGACCTGTGAACATGAGGTCACATTTTGATTCCCGGTCAGAGCACAGGCCCGGGTTGTGGGCTCAATCCCCAGTGTGGGGCATGCAGGAAGCAGCCAATCAGTGATTCTCTCTCATCATTGATGTTTCTCTCTCTCTCTACCTCTCCCTTCCTTGCTGAAATCAATAAAAAATTAAAAAGAAAAGTGGGCATGTAAAACTTAATCATTGTGAAAGCCAATTGCTATCTAAGGCTATCCTTTCTAAAAAGTATGTTTTAAAAACTGGAATCGAACTTGACCTCCTGTTCATAGGTCAATGCTGAACCACTGAGCCACACTGGCTGGGCTAGCTAACGTCATCTTAAGTTCATATTTTCCATGAACCACATTCTTCCTTCCCTCCAATACACACGTGAGAAAGTGTGATGTCAAAAGGAAGTGAAATTCCTCAATTCACAAGAAAAATATGGAACGTTACTAGGCCCAGATAACATCACTTTTCCTAATATGCAGACGATATAGCTCACTGGTGGTTACTCTGAGGCAGCCTTGCACAAAGAAGAGAGAAGTGCGGAATGCGGTCCCTCTAGCTCACGTATCCTGGTTATGGCGGCGAATGCTCGGACGAGAACGGCCCCTCCGGCTGCACTAGACCGGCTGCACCCGTCACCTCGGCAGCTCCTGTGCCCGCAGAGCCTGGTGCATGTAGCTGCTCGATAAATGTTTGTCAAGTAAAAGACTCTCAGGGTTCCAGCTGTTGGGGGCTGGGCCCCCCGGACGTGCCTCTCCTCTAGGCGCCCCAAGACCTGTTTCCAGAGGATTCCCCGGGAGGGCTTGGTGACCACCTGGGAGAAGCAGGAAGGGGACCCACGCATTTTATTGGGGTTCCCTGTCCTACACTGAGACCCGCCACATCCATCCTCAGTTCCTTGCACAGCCCCTGTTTCTCAGAGCCCAGCAGCTTTTCATGGACGCGCTACACTGACCCAGGGGGTCCCCGCAGAGGAGGGCTGGCTGGAATTCCTCCCCACCTCTTCCGACCCCCCGCACCCGTTCATGTTTCTTGTGTGGCTCCTGGAGCTCCAGCCTAGTGGGCGCCCGCCCTGCTGAAAGTGAGCCCGTGGGAATGAAGGGGATCCCCCTTGCAACATGCTGTTACTCGCTGCATGATTGTATAGGGATCACACAGTGACAGACACAGCAAAAATGATGAGCAGGTTGCAGGTTTGAGATTCTACCCAGGTTTCCTTGCATACCCTCCATGACAGGAGGCTCACTCCCTCTGAAGCAGCCCTTAGCATTTAGGGTTCGCTCCTGGAAGGTGCAGGAGGGAGAAGGGTTAAAGGTTTGGGCCGAGGCACACTTCTCCCTTCCTTAGGCCAACAGCGCGAGTCTCCAGTGGGTAGACCAGCCTCTGCTCTGTGAATCGCCCCTCACTCTGAAGGCTGCCAAATCAGAGGGTACCCCTGGGCAAGAGGCCCCCGCCAGCCAGACCTGGATGAAGGGGAAGAGGAGGCCCACGGCGAAGTTGGAGAGCCAGTTGACGGTGCCTGCCACGATGAAGGCCGCCGGCCGCTGGGACTGCTGGAAGAACTCGCCGGTCAGGACAAAGGGGATGCCGCCTGCAGGGAGAGCCGGGGCTCGGAATTAGTCCCCCGGAGGAGGCGGCCATGCTGCCAGCCTCCATCTCCTGTGGCAGGGCAGGCGGTGGGAGAGCCCCTCTGCCTGTGTGAGCAGCGGCCTCGGAGTGGGTGCTGGGTTACAGCCCAGAGCTCCGAAAGGCATGAACACCATCTCTGACCTCGCTCATCTGAACAAGAGGTGTCCGTCCTC